AAAATATTATCAGAGTCTATCGAAATTGTCATATGAAATAATATAAATTTTTAATCGAATAACATAATATATACGTGAATAATAACTTTATATATTATAAGTTAATTTTATAGAGTTGAATTAAACTCATATATATATATATATATATTATGAGAATGATCCTCTTATGTAAGAATGAGAATGATTAATTTCAACTTTTAGAATAACATAGATGACTTGAATTAAAAGATTTGTGTAAAATTACAATTGTTATTGTTGTTGTTGTTACTATTTCTACCACCACTATCATTATTATTGTTATCACTATTATCCCACCACTATTATTATTATCATCATTGTTAGTGCAATCATTACCACAACCACTATTATTGTAACAACTTGACAGGTTATACATTGGTGTAACATGACACCATAACATACAACGCAACAGAAAATAAATCATTTATGCTAGGTTTATCATGTGGCATAAAACATGAAGATTGTGCATTTACAAAACATGTATGTACTCGAGGATCTCCTACAATTAAAAGTTTATTCAACTCAACCCTATTGGATAGTAATAGCCTTAGTCACTTAGGTATCGTCGACATAAACATGGAATGCTTAGTATCACCAGTTAGGTATAGAATAGTTCGAATATGAGCTTACCATGATATTGGTCTACAAAACCAAAGCCTTTATGAATTTAGCTCATTGACTACCCATAAAATACTACACAATCTTCAAGAACTAGGTCGGAGAACACCTTAGTTGACCATCATCGGCTTAGGTTCCAACTCAACATCTAAGTTCCTAAATCCCAAACAGAACCATTCAACATCAAGTATGAAATTACTCATTTCATATTATTGTCACTATCATTTAAAGGAGAACACATCATTTTTCAGGAAAACACATCCATAACTTGAACTATGGAGCACTAGGCTCCCAAAGATCTAATCAACTAGTATCTCCTACTAAATAACTCAGCAAAAGAACACAAAATGTCATTTTCTTCTAAACCTCCTTAAGGATTTTCAAAAATAGTATGGATGAAGAGAATTATACCTTCCCCAATATCCAATTACAACATCGTGAATTAGGGACTCAACATTCCCTACATTCACTCTCTACAACATGCAGGGTCGGATATTCAATAAGGCAATTAAGGCTAATGCCTAGACCCCCCAAACTTATAAGGCCTCCAAATTCTTTTAATAGTAGTATCATTGATATAAATTAATTTTTAAAAAATTAATAATATTTGAGATAAGGCCCAATATTTTATAAGACATATATCTTACATTTTTTACATCTCTTATTTTTTTTATTATTAAAATTACTTGAAAGCGTTAAAGGCATAAAGTTTCAAGCACCAAAAATAAGGGATGCACTTGTTCAATTATCGAAAACTAGTAAGATAAAGAGTGAAGTCATGTGTTTAGCGACTTATGAGATAGAAAATTTTGAATTTTTATTAGGAATGAATATTTGGTATGATATACTTTTTGCGGTTAATTAAGTAGGTAAGATTATACAATCTAAAGATATGCATATAGATGTTGTTATAGATCACTTAAGAGACCTTATAACTTATTTAAAAAATTATAGGGAAAATGATTTTGCATCTGCATTAAAATCCACCAAATAAATGACTATTGAAATGGATATAAAGTTTATGTTCAATGAAAAATGTAAGATTCATAGGAAAAAAATATTTTGATGACATTAATAGTGATGAGATAGCTCATTCTGTTGAAAATTCTTTTCGCATTG